CCCTTTGGTAGAATTAGTAGTGACAGTATTATTATAGAAGTCATATTGACATGATGTCATTGAATAGGGGATGGTTACATGTACGTGTAGTTTCTTTGTGGGTGTAGATGAGCAATCATCTCCAGTGGGGCGTGGCCTGTACCTGTATAAATGAAAGCATGTCTGGAATGTCATTCATTGCACTGACCAACACAAAGACAGCACAAACAAAACGAACTTGCCATGCAGAACTCAGTAGCACAGTGCTTTCTCCTTTCTGTTGGGGCTGTTATTTTTAGTTCTTGTCTGAGAGAGTCTACAGCTCAATGGGAGCGTGAGGAAATGTACAAGGGCCTGCAGCTTGAGGCTCTGAAGAGCATTATTCTGGAGTACCTGGGGATGGATGCACCACCTGGGCCTGGTGGAAGAGCTTCTCATCAGGACCTGGTCAGGATGTACCGTCAATACAGGAGAATAAGATACTTGCTCAAAGGCAATTCCAGTGAAGAACAGGAGCTTCAGCCTGAAAGAAGAGCCTCTACGGTGCTCTTTCCCACAACAGGTAAGCTATTAATATTGTTATTAAAAAATAAAACATATTAAAAAAATAAAATATAGAAATTATTTATTTGGTATATATGTACATTTGGTTTGCATTGTCTGATTTCATTTTTTAAATTTAATTTGAATGTTTTTTATATATATTTTTTAATAAACATTAAATTAATAGAATACATTTAAATTAATAAATCAGTAGAATAAATTCATTTACATGGATATATAATATAATTTGTGTGCATATGTATGTGTGTGTGTGTGTATATATATTTTTTTTAGTTCTGTCAAATCAATTAATCGCGTTTAATCACATTGAAAATACAAGCTTTTGTTTACATAATGTGTGTGTGTACTGTGTATATTTATAAGTATATATAAATACACACATGCATGATATTTAAGAAACATTATATAAATATATATTACATATATTTCTTAAATATATACGTGTATGTGTGAATGCTTATATATACATATAAATAAACGGTACACACACACACACATATTATGTAAACACAAACTTTTTTTGGATGCGATTAATAGATTTGACAGCACTATATTATTTAATTAATCTAATAATTGTTTGTATACACGTTATATATATATATATGTGTGTGTGTGTGTGTGTGTGTGTGTGAGACCAATTTTTCCAATAAGGGTCAATTGTTTTAAATTGAGATTTATACATCATCTGAAAGCTGAATAAATAAGCTTTCCATTGATGTATATCACCTTTAAAGTTGTCCAAATTAAGTTCTTAGCAATGCATATTACTGATCAAAAATGAAATTTT